GGGGGACTGACATAGGCGGGAAAAACAAGCGATCAGAATTCCCTCCTCGCCTTCTGACAGCCGGAAGCGTATCAGCGCAACGACAGCTGATGAATATCGAGGAAACGACGACGAAGACACTAATTAGCAATGGAGTCGCTATCTGTTATGAAAGGAGGAAGGAGACAGCTCGATGCCACTGTAGCACGTCAGAAAAGGCTCCACGAGAACGACACCGCCTGTGGGAGCTTACATTAAAAAACTGGAATATATCCTCACACAAAAGGAAAGACAACGAGCTAGCTGATGAACCCGCAAGATACTAACACGACATACTGGATTCTAGTCAACGAAGCGCCAAGGCTTCGGAATCCTGAACCGCTGTCGGCGGAAACTATTCTACTCAGGTCTCAAATACACGACTCGCGCTCTGGCCGGTGTTGGTCGTCTGGTAGAAACAAACCTCGCTTACAGTAGCGCTAATAGGAAACCTGTCAGTGGAAGAGTGGCAACCTTTTGGCTAAAGCTACAACACGTTAAAGCGTTGACCTCGGTACAGGTGTATGCGCCCAATTTGGACGGAAAATACGAGATCTTCCGTGAGGAAGTGCAGGGTGCTCTGTCCGAAGAGCCGAATGCCGAGTCCTTCATAATAATGGGCGATTTAATGCGCATGTCGGCGTGAGCGAAAAAAAACGGACCTAGTGACTCAACGATAACGGCACGAGGTTGTGGCGGTTTTGTACAAACAACGGACTGTCCATTATGAACACCTTCGTGCATCGAAAAGTGCATCAGTACAACAAGAACCGGGAAGCTTGTGCACAGAAGTCGATGATCGATTTGATAATCGTATCGTCTGACCTAAGATGTTCAGTAATGGATGTTCGTGTTAAGAGATGCCCAGAGCTATCAATCGATTAGCACCTTGTTGTCGGCACTCTGCACTAAAAAAAATGGAGTACCATACGAAGAACTGTTGGCAGAAGCAACCAGAGAATCAAATGGGAAACATTATCTTCGGTGGACACGAGAGCGAAATTTGCAAACATCGCACGACGGTTCGAACAGATCCCAGTGATGACAACTGATGTTGAAACCGAATGGCAGCTCTATAAGAGTGCCATATTCCAGGCTGTCGCCGAATGCTGCGGATATAAACGCGTTGGCCTGCTGCCTGGAGGTCACAAAAGATCTTA